ATGCTTCACAAATCTAGAGAATACAATTCCAAAATTCACATGGAACTGGTATGGATAAAAATAGAGAAAGCAAACTTGGGCAACAAGAGCAAAGCAGGAGAAATCACAATAATTGACTTCAAAGCAGTCTATAAAATAACAGGGAAAAATTGGCATGGTACTGGGACAAAGCAGATGCCCGGGTCAAAGGAACAGAACACGGTACGGAAGCATTCGCAGACACATTCAGATAGTTGATTTTTGACAAAGGGGCCAGATATACTGGAGGAAAGACAGTCTCTTAAACAAGTAGTTTAAACTAGGTATGTGGGAAAACTGGACAACTGCAGAAGTTTGAAGCCGGACTCAGACCATTCGCCATGTACTAAGCTAAATCAAATGGTTCAAAAGTATAAACGTTAAAGCAGAAACATGGAATCCACTGGAAAATAAAAGGTAAAATACTTCAAGTCATAGGTCTATGAAGGGATTTGCTAAACAGCACACCAGTTGCACAAGAAATAACAGCAAACATCAACAAATGGGATTTCATCCAATGAAAAAACTGCTGCCCTGTCACTGAAACAATTAGTAAAAAAGACACCTTACTGCAGAACGGAGAAAAAAACTGCCTAATATTTTCTCATGCAGAAGACTACTAACTAGAATGCAAAGAACTAAAGAGAATTAGACTGTCTAAAATAAAAGATTCAATCAAGAAAAGGCACAAAATGGATACTTCTCAGAAGAAGAGTACAAGTGGCAACCAACGTATGAAAATATGTTCAACATCTCTGGCTATTAGTGAAATGCAAACTAAAACAGTGCTAAGGTTCTATCTTATACCAGAAAGAACCATAACAAGTGCTGGTAAAACATAATGGCTTTCTTAGTTTATATTCCCAGCAACAAGTTGTAAACTAAGAAAATCATTATAAAAATAAGTGTAGATACTTGTCAAAGAACTAGAAATTAGAACTAAACTAGAACTAAAACCAGAACTAGAAATTAGAAATTCCATTTGACCCAGCTATTCCCTTTCTTTTTTTTTTTTTCCCCAAAGACCTACAGACATCGTACTGCACCAATACATGCATACCAGTGCTCACAGCTGCGAAATTCGTAACTGCAAAACCCTCGAAGCAAGCCCCTATGCTCATCAACAGACAAATTTATAAGGAAAATGGTGTATCTATATGTAGTCGAGTACAACTCAGTTATAAAGAAGGATAAATTTGAGACCTCTGTAGGAAAATAGAAGCATCTGGAAAATATATGTTGAGTAAAATAAATCAGACGCAAAAGCTTAAATATTGTATGACAGCTCTCATCTGAAAAAGGCAAAGTACAAAGACCTAATAAAGGACAGATGGAAAAAAAGGGACAGATTTTTGCAAATGGGAAGGGCTTAGGGAGCCTGAGGTTGAGAGGAGAGAGCGAGGGAAAGGGGAAAGAATAGTTAAGGTATAACATGTACAGGAACCTAATACCCTCAAAGAATTTAAACATCATGTGTCATAAACATGAGCTAAAAAGAATGACAGAAAGAATGAAAAAGGGGAAAGATGACTTAAAAGTGGAAGGAGATTAAAAAAGAAACACGCTGTGTTGCGTGTGTGTACCTGTTCCACAAGATGACTGTAAACTTCGCGCCCTGGAGCCAGGCACTAATAAAATAAAATAATTTTGAAAAGTGCCTATGTTAAGCCATCTCTTCAGACTAATTTGTAAGATGATGAAGGGGATTTTCCTAATCTAGTTTATCTTCCTTTGTTCACTGCATTGGAACCCTCGCAATATGATTTAACAACCTGTCAACCCGGGAAAGACAGCAGCAAGGTGATCTGAATTAGGCGAGAGCTGAAGGATGAACGTTGATTAAATATTGACAATGTAATGGGACTGCACATTTACATAAGTGGTCATCGGGAGAGCCGATATGTATAAACGTCCCTCCTACAGGATATATTACTATGAACGAGAAAGAAAATCAAATCGGTAATTAATTTGAGAGGTCATTAGCCGTTGTGAAATGCAAACATAGTAGCCCGTTTCAATAAGTAGAAGGCCTTTCTCAGCTCATCCTGCCCTGGGGTGGGGGGTGCTTATTTACTTAGTTACTTAACCACTAATTTCCCCCTGAGCCAATCTTATCACAGCGTTGCCCTAGAACTTTCAGTTCCGCATGGTTCCCTGTGTACACACTGAAGTTAAATGGGCACCCAAGCAACTGTTTCCAAGGAAACAGCCTTGCAGGCTAGATCCTATCAATTTTCTATATAAAATCATAAGGAAATGTATGAAAGGGGAAATAGTGCCTGTGCTCAAACAGACATAGCTGAAATTAACTGAGTCAGTCATTCAGATCAGAACTGAAAGGAGTTTATCATCAGATACAATCACTTTTTTCCTTCACCTTCAGTGTAGCAGTAGGATGGAAGCAGAGAATGCAGCTGCTGTTTATTAAAGAGACTTTACGTGGTGTGATTTTTCTAAAGGTTGCAGCTTTGCCCGTGTCTGGCCACCGTGGCTAATGACATGAAAGGAGGCTTGGCAGGCCTTCTATTTCAGCCACGGCTGAAAGAAAATAATAATGTCATCAATTAGCAACTAATGCAATAGCTGAATTACTGTGGCATTTAGAAATTATTGAAATTAGTTGTCTGCCTGTGGGTTTGTCTTATACTCTGGTCAAAACAAACAAATGTTCAACTGATATTTTAGTAGCTAGAGATTGATGAGCGATGTTTCTTGCTGTTTCTGAGACATAAATTTGGTTTCTGGCATCTACTTTACTTAGGATGTGATGGATGATCTGTCAAATTAGCTGGCACATAATAGGCATGAAATACAAAACTGTTTAATGGATTAATTAATAATCACTATTAATTATTGAGTGCAGACAGGATGTGCTAGATTCTAGCATTATTATTTTAATTTTGCAGCTAAGAATTCTCACTTAGAAGGTTACATGTGGGATTCAAAGTCTGGGTTTTCTTTGCCTGCTATCAAGGTACCTCTGTTGTGAAAAAATTGACAATTAATATACTTCAAAACACTTGTTTATGGAAGAATAGGCAGGAACACAAGGAAAAAACGCAAACGCAAGTATCAGTTAGTGTGACTGGAAGTTGGCCCTGCTATCTATTTACTAAGTGACCTTGAAAAGTTTGCTTTTTGCTGATTGCCCTGAGCCTCTGTTTTCTTTCCATAAGATTAACAATAGCAGCTGCTTCACGACTTCGTTTTGCAGACTAAATTGGACAGATCACCCATGTGATGTGCTAAGCACAGTGCCTGACACACAACAAACCCAGCCTCAGAGTTAGCTGTTAGTCCGCGTACCTGGACCTCTCGCTAGCAGTTTTGCTTACTTGACGAATGATTGATCCCTTTCTTCCCAAGATGATCAAACAGCATTATTATGTACAGGCTAGCAAGACAGTCTTCTTCATTATTCAATAAATTAAATAAAAACAAAAACAAAATCCCAAATGTTTCCAAACGCCTGGCCAAAATAAATAGCCCCAAGTCTTCACTGCTTCCTCCTGCAATGGCAGGGTTACTGATGCTCATTCTTTCCTACAAAAAGGAAGATAGACAGACAGACAGACAGACAGACGAAGACAAAGTATTTTCCCTTAGTATCGTCAGAAGAACTGAAACATTTGCACATTTTCAAAAGTACATTTACCAAATACTAAGAGAAAACAAGAAAGAAGTTATATATACTATAATCTGTGTGCATGCGTGTGTGTGTGTGTGTGTGTGTGTGTGTGTGTGCTGGTGTGCACAAATGCACACATGAGGTTTACTCTTCTCAGAACTGATGCCATTGGCATTATTAATTTACCTCAATATACCTTTGACCTTTTCTTTCATTGAGTGTATGTTTTTATGACATGCTTTAAATTCTTAGTGAAGGCTGTGAGAAACAGAGGTGGGGGAGGGAGGGAGGATACACAGACAGGTGAGAGAGGATTCTTTTCAGAATTTTTGAAACCTAGGTTATTACTTCTAGACCCAAAGAAATGACACCTGTTCTTTCTCTCAACTTCTTCATTCCAGCTGGGCAAAACTGTCATTTTTATGACCACGCAAGAACCCGTCAAAATTTTTATCCTCTCTATTTAAAATCACCAGCTCGGGGCTGGGGATTTAGCTCAGCGGCAAAAGCGCCTGCCTGGCAAGCGCAAGGTCGTGAGTTCGGTTCCTGGTACCGGAGAAAAAAAAAAACCAAAAAATAAAAAAAATAAAAAAAATAAAATCACCAGCTCTCTGTGCTTATAAACCACTCTGTGATTAAACTAAATGCCTTTAAATGGTCTAACCTATCATAGACTCAGAATATCATGGTTTCTTGACGTTACCTTCATATAACACACATTTTCACATATCTATATCACAGAGTAGCCAAGCATGGTGTCACACCCTTGTAATACCAGCATTCTGGGAGGCTGAGGCAGGAACATCACTAGTTTGATCCTAACCTGGGTGAATTAGACACTTAGGGACACCCTATCTCCAAAACAAAACAAAAAAAAAAAATTTAAAAGGGCTGGGAATGTAGCCCTGGATGTGAAAGCCTTGGGTCTCATCCCTAGTACCACAAAAATGGTACAAGTTTACTAAGAGAAAATAAGAAATAAGATATAATTCTTTATTGGAAGAATATAGATATATTCTTCAAAGGCAGTTATATTCTCAGCAGGAGACTCTTTGATGTTATCATACTTATCATACTTGTCCCTGTATTCCCCTTTATACTTCATAAAAGACATCAAAGCCATTCTAGAAATATGTGAGTTGGGCCAGTATGATTGATATTCTCTTGTATTGGATTTTCAATCACAGAATTTGACAGCCAAAGTAATGTAAGTCTATTTCTTGCCTCCTTATAGCTATCACTTGTTAGAATTCTATTCAGATGTACACATTGGTCATTGATTTACGTTCATATTGAAAAGCTGAAATGTATACTAATGAGCTAAACTTAATAATATTTCATATTGATTTCATAGGGATTCAAAGACATCTCTCTTGAGAGGTTTATTCACGGTGGAGCCAATGTGACAGGCTTCCAGTTGGTAGATTTTAATACACCTATGGTAACCAAGTTAATGGATCGCTGGAAGAAACTAGATCAGAGAGAGTATCCAGGATCTGAGACTCCTCCAAAGGTATTTGCTATTTCGAATCTCATATACTTTTGATTTTTTTTTTAAATTTTAAGGTAGAAAGTTCCTTCTGCAATTCTAGCTGTGTTTTCTCAGAGGAAGTCTAGCACAGGAAAGCAGTATCTTACCACCAGCACAGTACTGAGTAGACGCCTCATAATTTCTAAACTTCTATGTTTAATAACAGAGCTGTTGTACATTAACTCAAGGAGTTTATTGGTTTTATCACCTTATGTTTGAACTTACTTGGAGAAACGGTGTGCTTTTAAAAGGTTTATTAACTAAGTAGTTCAGCTATGAGTGACCACTGTTAACTTTTCTAGCCAGGTAAAAACTGTATTTGTAAAATGATTTATAATGAGATAAATGAAGAAATTGTTAGCAATGCAAAATGTAGAGCTTCTGTAACAATCTCTCTTTAAAAGTAACAGTGAAAGTAAGTTTTTCTGACAAATGTTGCAAAAGTATGTTATTAGTATTTACAAAGATAGCTGGTAAGTTTCCCATCATGAACACGTTTGAAAAGCCAGATGATTTTCTTAGACATCGTGTAGATGATAGAGTAATGTAGGTGGTTATGAGCTCTCACATGATAAGGCATCACAGTCAACAATATTTACAGTAACAGCATATTCCAGTAAAGAGTTTTAATTCATAATTTGGAAATTGGAGATTAGAAGAAGTGATGTTTTTAGCTACTTCATTTTCTAACTATAGAATTCATTTTGGCTGTGTCAGTTTCTCCTCTGCAACATTAAAACTTGACTGCGAAGTCCTGAGTTCAATTCTTGATACTCACAAAAAATGTCACTTAAAGTTTGAATAGCTAGCCTATAGAACCATGAGTTTTTCAAAAACTTCATATATTGGGTGTCCAGCATGTGCCAGGCACTATATTTCTACCGTCTGGATTTCCAGATTAATACATGTAAGGTAAAAATGGATGTATTCATTGGTTGTCCTTGAGTTGAGGACCAAGTTCACAGAATATCCAGGACAGAATCATTTTAATGACTCCTACTGAATAACCTCCAATTAGACTTGTCTATTCTTCAGCTTTGAACTCTTTGCTGTATAAAAATTATATGATCTGCACTGGATAGACAGACTCCTTTATGGGGTTTATCTGTGATAATTCCGCCTGGTGGATATATCTATTAACATTGAAGATAATTTCATAATGTTTTTATAAATACAGCTTTTAGACATGCTATAATAAATACGATTCACACAGATAATTTTGTCAGCTTTTTGCATGATTCTAAATGCTAAGAATTTAATAAATTTATATGATCACTTTTCATTACTTGCAGTGATTAGTTGTATAACACCTTTTAAAATAATGAATGAGTAAATATTAAACCTTTTCTCTTAGAAGACATACAGGGTTAGTGTCTGAGCATGTAGTTACACGTTTATCACTCAGTCAGCACATAAAATTATTTTATGTATGTTTCAGTTTAAAGAAATTTCACTTACTGCACTTTTGATTCTTTAACACTGAACACTTCTATAATTCTTTGGACCAGTGAGGAGGAAGCACAGCTCTTTTATGTTGGATGAATCACATTTTTACTATTCTATAGATATCCAAGAATAACCACAGAAGTGTGACAAGTATTGATTTGGGGGTCACAAATAAATACGAGCAACTAGGCAACTTCAAACGCCTAAAATCCACAAATAAGAATTGATTACTTCCAAGATTTTGCTATTACAAACTGTGCTGCTGTAAACATGGGTGCACATATATTGCTGTGGACTATGATGTTTTTAATTCTTCCGGGGAATGGATAAAAAAAATGCGGCCTTTTTATACAGTGGAATACTACTCAGCCATAAAGAATGATAAACCTGAGGCTTTTATAGGTAAATGGATGCAACTAGAGACCATACTCATAAGTGAAATAAATCAGACTCACGTGTGTAAACATAATATTATACCCCTGGTATGAGGAACTAAAAGAGTAGATAAAGTCCAAACTGCACAATAGATATCGTGAAATGGAAAGAAATTGTTCAAAAGCAAAAAGGAAGTAGGGTGGGGGGAAGGGGAAAGGAAGGAAGCAAAAAGGAAAAAAACAAAATCACGTTATATTACTAGTTTTTCTTAGTTCATTGAAAAGAAATGTTTGTGCTAATATCACTTAAGAGAATTTTGGGGGCTCATATCTTATACTCTGGGTAACTACTTTAAAGACAACAATACTCAAGGTATTAACCATTGTTATTCTTCTATTATTCTGTTAAGAAATTTGTTTTACTTTCTTTCCATAAAATAAAAAAAAGAATTGATTGCAATTATATAAATTATATTTCAGTCATTTAGTATTTCAGCCAACATTTCTAGTCTCCTCACTTTGGGAATAAAGATCTTCCATGATACAGGGAGCGTCTCTGCTGCGTTCTGACGCTCCAGGCGACACTCTTTCCTATCCTTGTCTCACCTGTTAAGCGCTGTGCTTCCTCCTCGCTGGTCCTGCACTTTCATCTCCACGGGTCCAAATCCATCCGTCTTCCAGAGTGCTACATCAAACACCACTTTCTCTCAAAGCTTTTAAAAAAATTTCTCTGGTAAATATGCACCCCTTCTCCTTTGTACTTGTCATCATATTTGAGCATGTATTTCTTCCCTAGGATGTAACATAATTCTTTGTAGACTTATTGTTTCACAGCTGTACCTTATTTGGGGACAGTAAGTATCTACTGCTCACCCTCATAGTCCTTATAATTCCCAGCCAGTGTCACAGTACATTTTTCAGAGAACTCTCAGATATGTTGTAAAATTTGATTCTCTAAACAACCACGGTAGATAGATGTTATTACCTTATATTCGATTTTGTTCTAGTCTATGTTCCATAACTGAAGAATGTGTTTCACTTTCCTGTAAACCTACATGTAGCAAAATTCAAGTTCATCTCAGTTCTTTCTTTTCAGAGTCCATATTCTTTCCACTGCTCTATGATATTGTTCATCTCTGTCTTGTCGATCCACAAAGTTTGGGGAACAAAACTCATTCTGCCATGCAGTTCATCAGGCAGAGCAGTGAATACCTATAGACTTAAATCTGCTTTTCCCCCAAGTTAAACATCTATTGACTAGACGTTTTCTAGATGACATCTAGAAGTTGTGTACCCACAAGTATGACTTCCTGGGCTGTAACACAATAAGGCACACGGGCCAGAATTACACTCAGTGAAAAGGTGGGACCTATTTGAACTAGTGCTTCCTTCCATCTGTCAGTTCTGTGACCTGTCAAGTTCCAGGCTTCTACTGCTCTGACTGGATCTCTGCTTTGTGTGATACCTGCTCTATTTTTCTGGTGCTCTGCTTTCACAAAAATGGACGAACTCTAACACACAGCCAGTGCACTTGCATTTCTATGTCTTCTCTTCTCAGTTTCTTTCCAAACTGAAAAAGCAACAGTTTTTTCTTCCTTTCCCGCTCTTGATCCTGAAATACTAGTACTGCATTTTCTTTTGCCTTTATGTCTTCAGTCAGTTTTTATTTTCTTGTTTTACACAAAAAATGGTATGATGCTCTTGTCTGCCTAAAGATGCATGAGTTCAGGCAGGAGAGGACCTGTGTTCATTTTTAGGGTGGCACCTCGTTTAACATTTTGATTGCCTGCAGCCACTTCATCCTCCTTGTAAAGAGGCATGCCTGAAGCCTCTGCATCATATTCTGAAGGAATATGCAGCAAGTCTCTTAATTAATATAAATCTTTCTAAAACAAGATTTATATAAATCTTTAGAAAACAAGCTTCTTAGTTAGGCCCTCTACCATTGGAAGTTCTTTGCTAGAATTTATAGCGCATTCTTTATTTTATATATCCCTATGTTTTCATTTTTCTCTTCCCTGGAATGCTGGTTGCTCTGGGTTATGGTCATATTGCCTATGTTTACTTTCTACAGTTGGAATTCCAAGTGAGTTTTCTGTATCTGCAAGCAGAAAATCAGGGAGAGCGCCCCCCTTTTCCACAACAAGTACTACCCATTATTTAGATGTAGAACGTGTTCATCTTATGAACTGACCATGCAAAATTCCTGAAGGAGATGACATGGTGGACACTCTGTCATGTCATTAATACTTCAAGAAAATTGTGCCATGTTTTCTAAGTGTGTATCAATTCTCTAAACAGTCTCTTCAAACTCTACCAAAGGCGATCAATCCCCTGTTCTTTTCATTTATGCCTGAAACAAGTTGTCGGTTTTTCCTCACTTCCACCCTTACCGTGAAAATGTTTTCTGGAGGCTCACTATTCTCAAAGGGAAGCACAGAGCAGTCACTTTAAAGCAGACCGCCTACAGTTCACATCTCCACTTGGAGCCTAGGTTACATGGAAAACTTAAAAGAAATGACTTAACCTCTCTGATCATCCTTACCACATATAAATTGGCTTGCTAAAGCACTAGGTTGCACCAGCTGGGCTCCAATTTTCAGTTCCTCTCCTCAGCCTTACGGAGCTCTGGGGTTACAGGCGTGAACCACATCTCCAGTTAAGATACTCACTCTTATTGAGGGTGATGACTAGTGCACATACATTCATTAATAGAGTAGGTGTTATTTTATGGTAGCATGTTTTCATAACAATAAACAACCCCACCAGTTCTTCTAGGAGACTACACAAAGATACACACTTTAAAACAACAAATATAAATTAACCAAGGAAGCCTGGGAAGCACGTTGGAGAGGAAAAGACAAAGACAGCCCAGGCTTGCAGGGCACAACTACTGCAGTGAACTAGAAGGCAAATTGAACAATGCTGCACTTAGCATGTTTTTTCCTAGAGCTTTTTATAATTGGACACTATTTATTTATTTATTTATTTACTTTTTGCTTTTTGAGACAGGGTTTCACTATGCAATTCAGGCTGGCCTCTAACTCACTTTGTAGCCCGGGCTGGCCTCAAACTCACAGTGATCCTCCTGCCTCAGCCTCCCAGGTGCTGGGATTACAGGGGTGCGTTACCATGCCCGGCTTGGACACAATTGAAAGCCCTCACCTAATATGTTGTTTTACCCAACTGATGGGAAGTTGTTTATTAGAATCTCCATTTTTACAGCATGTTTTCTCCTTTTAAAATCATAATGATGATATTGGGCATATAGTCTTTGTGTTCAAGCAAGAGTAGAAATTACTAAAGCCATAGTCCGTTAATTGTTAGTAATTTAGCTATCATCCCTTCAGGACGGTGCTCTTGTCAGAAACCCACAGGACCTCGAGATTATCCCTAGGTAAGATTTTAACGTTTACCATTATTGTCACTTTCCTTTGACTAGTACACCTCTGCTCTGACTTACGATGGTGTCCTGGTGATGGCTGAAACTTTCCGAAGTCTTAGAAGGCAGAAAATTGATATTTCAAGGAGAGGAAATGCCGGGGATTGTCTGGCAAACCCCGCTGCCCCGTGGGGCCAAGGAATCGACATGGAGAGGACCCTCAAACAGGTAACTGCCTCTGTGAAGTTCTGTTTTGTTCATTATCTTCAGTGGGACATACTGCAGTTGCCGGTCTAATCCATCAAGCCGTACTCGTCGCTGAGGTGATCGAAAGGTAACCTGAGAAGAGCACAGGGCAGAATAATGCTGTTGTTATCTTACAGAGATGCATCGTCATGATAAGCAGGCTGATGCTGGGGCGACAACCCCAAATCCTACTAGTTTAAAACAACAAAGAGCTTTGCTCAGCATTCAGACACTAGATTCGCAAGTGTCTTTAGCTCACTGTAATCTCTCAAGGCGGCCATCTTAAATCAAGGACCCGTCGGTATCCCTGCAGAGGGCGCTAACTCATACTTACACGTCCTTGTGTGCGCACTCACACCAGATGAATGCGGACTTTCTCGAAGTGGAGTGACAAGTGAGTACATGTGGGGTTTTCTTTCTCCTTCGTAGGTTCGAATTCAGGGGCTGACTGGAAATGTTCAGTTTGACCATTATGGACGGAGAGTCAACTACACCATGGACGTGTTTGAGTTAAAGAGCACAGGACCCAGAAAGGTGAGCCACTATCAAATTGAAAAACAGAAAACGCTCGACCAGGCATGGTGGTACACAGTTATGATCCCAGCACTCATGAGGCTGAGGCAGGAGGATCATTATGAATTCAAAGCCAATCTGGACTACATAGTGAGACCTTATCTCAGAAAAGCAAAGAAATAAATTAGTAATAACTTTCCAAGGTATTTCTTGGCATTTTCAAATACTTACAGGGATGACAACTGGTTATTCTACATTATTTAATGTGAGTACTTACAAATAGTACTTTCTTGATCAACTGTACTGATAAATTTTTGTGTCATATAATTGATATCCCGTGGTGTGCCAAAGCTGGATCAACCAGTTTGTACACCATGCATAACCTTTATTCACAATGGAAGCAAGAGGGGAAGAGTGGCCACCAAAGAGAAAGAAAAATTTCACAAAATATAACTTACTCAGCAAGAAAGAGGACAGTGCAGTAGGCGATCCATATATCATTCATAAAAGCATTCTAGAGATGCAGAGACTAGTAACCCTTCCACAGGGCCGGCCTCTCCGGAGGAGATTGGAGGTACTTAAGATAACTTAGCAGATGAATGCAAAAGGGCAAAGAAGGAAGTAAAAGAAAGACAAGATTACGAAAATTATTATTAGGCTGAGAAGAGAAAGAAATACTGCTGCTGATCAGAAGGATGCTGGATTCAGAAAGCAGACTCAGATAGGTCAGCTTGTGGATCGTAAGATGTCACCAAACCTGTCAACAGTCTTCCAAAAAGTACTTTATGCAGTAAAGCCATATAACCCCACTCCAGTAATTAGGTATAAGTTGACAAGTAGAATCTAACTTTTCTCAAAAATTAGCTAGCGTATCAAAGAAAGAGGTGTTCAAGGTAGCCTTATCTAAAAACTCTTTCAGCACTTGGCTGTTTAAAAAGTATTTCCAAAATATACCTTCCTGCCTTAAAGTAATGACAGTAGCTACAATTTATGAAATCACTGCTATGTCCCAAGTCTGAGCTTAGTGCTTCACACAATCTAACTCTTGTAGCAAATCTATAACTTGAGTATTCCGTCCATTTTTGAGAAGAGAAAATTGTAAGCCAAGCAGTTGTGGTGACCTGTCTAAAGCCTGTGTCTGGGAAACAAAGATTTTAATTCAGATATGTCTGGTTCTAGAACCTTCCCACATCATACCCCACCCGAGGAGACCATGCTCCTGAGAAGCTTATATTCTAGTAGAGTAGAATATATGTTCCATGTGCCACTTAAAGAAAGGACATGCGGAATTTCTAAAAGGAAGAGCTCACTTGCAGCTGGAGGAGGACACATTAGGAAGGACTGCACGGGGAGATGGGATTTAGTTAGCCGTGTAGCTAGAGTTTAAATAGCAAAAGGCAACAATCAGAAGAAAGGCTGAGAGGCAGGATGGTTAGAGCCACACATGGAAAATGACAAACACAAAAATGGGGGTCTTGCTGCACTCTGTCACGTGGGTGTGCTCCTGCATCCACGTGAGAAGGAGAAGCTCGCAGCTGCCTTAAAAATCCTCTCCCGCTTGTCAGCCCCACAGCAGCATCTCCTTGGGTGGAGGCTGACAGCTAATCCATGCAGGCTGGCGTCTACCTGGTCTAGGTTAGATAGGACAGGTGACGGATGACAGCTGAGGACACCCAAGCTGCACCACCATGACGGAAGTCTCCTAAGGAGCTGTCCGGAAGCAAGGGAAGAGGACACGCTTCCGAGAAGGGGCTCCCTGGACGCTGCTGTGTCAGCACCCACTTTACACACTCACTCAGCGCCCTGCCAGCAGCAAGAAGCAGAGACCCATGTAAGCGCAGTCCCTCGGCTGGCTGTGGAGCGGACAGAATACTCCATAGATGGATGAGCAGAGGGAAGATAGACCACATCTCTGCCATAGTCCAGACCTTGCAAAACTGTTTGTTTAACAAAAGCTTTTTAAATTCAAAAGACAACTCCATATTTTACAAATCAGGAAGTACAGAAAGTCAGATGGTTCCACAGAAAAGAAGGAACAAGGGAGAAAGGAAGCAGGTGGTGACTAGCGGTCGTATCTAGCGGGGCTGTTTGTAACACTGAATCATTTCGGGCTTACTGAACTGTGGTGGTGGCAAACGTTAAGATTTTTTGAGGAGAAAGTTAAAGACTAAGTTGGGAGAGGAGCGAGCAGTATGTCTTCATGCTCAGCTGCCCTTCAGCTAAGGCTCGGAAAGAAATAGAGAGTGTAGAATGGTGTGGACTCATCCGTCTTCGTTTTCCTGTGGCAACCATCAGCTTGAGCATCCTGTCGGGAATATTAAGCTTAAAAATAAGCTACCGTGAGGAGCAGCGCGCTGGTTGGACTAGGCAGTATGCCTCAGAACTGAGCGATTGCTCTTGTAAATTGAACACTTGCCATCAAGGGAGCAATCTTTGAAACAGATTAGAAAGCCAACCCATCCGTTTGTCTGACTTCTGTAACAAACCGATGGGGTCTCATTAAGCAGGGGATGCAAAGCTCTTTCTGAAGCCTAGGCTCCTAAGGAGAGTAAAATGCTCTTATCATTCGGTGATCTCCACGGTTTCAGAGGGGATGTTTTCCAGCCAGACTTGCACGGTTTTGTGAATTCTTAATTATAGACAACTCATTTACCTAGGAGCAGGTTCATGCCAGGGACTGTCCTGGAAAATCGATGCGCATTTTCATATTTAATCCTCATGACAATGTAAAAATAAAATATATATTTCTTCTCACTGTATAGGAAAGTGAGACTCAGACAAACTAAGTATCCTGCCAACTAGAAAGAAGGAGAGATGAAATGCAAACCAAAATTCCAGTAGCTCCAAAGCTCACTCTCTGGAATGCTATGAAACATAACTCCTGCTGCCTGTAAGATTCCCATTTAGAGTATGCCAGTAAAAGATTTTCAGGACAGGTTTCGAAACAGCAACTCTCCATGAATCAACTTTGAATAGAACAGGGCCCCTCAAAACAACTCAACCCCAACTTCAACCCTATTTTAATACCAAGTCAACCATTAATATAGAACCAGTACACATACAATTTATTCCGGTACTATTTGGGCAAAATTCATCTTTAAGAGGCCAAAGATAAATATTTTTGTAGCACCCTTTGCCAGGTGAGTGATCTAAATGCTTCCATACTTTTGCAGTGTAAAACCACTATCATCCAGTTTGCATCTCTAGAAAAAAATATCTGTTTTCCTTAATAGATTAAATGAGGTCAGACAAGAGAAAAGTGTTCCATAAACTATAAAATGTTGGACAGAACTAGAGAAAAAAACTCCATCTCACATGAGATTCTAGATCAAAGCCTCAGGAGTTTTTCTTCAGGAAATGATCAGTGTACAGACCACCTTTCCAATAAATCCACAGCCCCCATGGAATCTGTCACAGATGTGATCCGCATTATAAAATCTGGCTTTGTTTCTCACCACAATTCCATGCCGATGTAAACCAAGACAACTTTTTGCTTTTTGTTTCCACTTGCTATCACTAGCACTTCTGTATCATTTATCTTTTTGAGAGGGGTCCCTGTGAACACACGTCTTAAATATCAAAGTCTTGCCAATAACTGAGCACTCTCTAAAATGTGTCCCAAATCTGAGATTTCTTTTTCTGTTGTGAGACTAATTAACGAGAAAATAATGTTTTGCCTAAAAGATGGTTGCAGAGATTTGTAGGGTGGTTGCACGTTCATAAAGTGCTAAACTGTAAAACCTATTTTCATATCATATAACTGACTTCTGGAAAGATAATTAGCAGGAAACATCTCAAGAAAGGGGAAGCTGGAAGGTATTCCTGTTTTTAAATATTTTTCACAATATTGTTAAACAAATGTCAGCTAGAAATAAATTTACTTGGATAATTGAAACCAATTGCTGGATTAATATATACCATAATTTAGGATCAAACCACCTACCGCAAGGCATGCTTATGAAAATTATTTCTCCTCGTCTCTCCTGCTATTGAACTACATACATTCAAAACCTGTGAATAATCCAGTGACTCTTTCTGGCATATTAATGTTTGCTTTATTTTACTATGTTGCTAAGTACTAACACGGCAGTTAGGACACTTAGAGAAGGCAGCAGAGACTTCCAAAACAGTAGAACCAATGGTGAATACAGCGGTAAGCAAATACACACATTTTACGGAGACATGAGCTTTATCAACAGCATCAAGCAATTTAAAAAGGAAGTTTTGCAAGCATGAAACGAACACTCATTTGGGGAAACTTTTCCATGGGAGCAACATATTCCCAAGCTGGTGTCTTTAACCTCTGTATTTGAAATGTACATTAACATTAAGATGCAAATAAAAGGCAAGTTGTCAGGCAGCATCTGCTTGACAGGAAGCATGCAGTACGTTTTACTCATTACTGTCATCCAAGGGTCTACGTAGCTCAGAGCATCCTAAATTCCTGGCAAGATTGTAGTTCACTACTCATTGTAGTTCACTACTCTTTATTTAATTTATATTATGGAAAAATAGTTGACTTCTAAATGATAAAATATTAAAATGATTTTCAGTTAAAATATGCACTTAAATATAAGCTTTGAAAATGAAAGCAGTGTTTGTTAATATTCATCACTGAGGTAAGTAGCATTTTATAAAAGATATTGTATTGTTATCAGGGGATTAGGATACATCAAATCAGGAACCCTTTCCACACTTCTTTTGAAATACACAAATTTCTTTTGCTTGGAAGTATCCTTTATGCATCCGGGTATTCTCTTTATAACATAACTTACAGCTTTATCAGTAAGATCATGTAATTAACCTTTGGAATTCCACCGCTCACTAGCAGGGAAGGAAATCGTAAATGATGCTCCATCTTGACTGTATGCCTTTGGAACCACTGCTTCCTATGTCTTGGCTACTGCATGACTTGCTAAATATCTAGTACAGAGTCTCTTTAAACACCCAGAGAACGGTTTCTCAGCAATGTTTAAAACTTTCACATTTTTCATTCCCTTTTTAGATTTATTCTGATTGCATATTTATTTATACCACTCATTCCAATGAGAACTAGAGTATACTCTTCTAAAATATGTTTTTAGAAGTCTTTCTGTGTTCGCAGGTTGGTTACTGGAATGATATGGATAAATTAGTCTTAATTCAAGATGTGCCCACTCTTGGCAATGACACGGCTGCTATTGAGAACAGAACGGTGGTTGTAACCACGATTATGGTAAGTTTTGGCGTATGCTTTATGCTGCTCCGTTTTGTCCACAGGCAGCTTTAACTCCCTGGCCATGGCACACAGTAAGGGGCCAAGCGGAACCTTAGTGGTGACATAAGTGCTCTGATCCACCAAAGTCCATTAAGGCTGTCAGTAGGGTTGTCCTGTGTTTTGAGTACATTCACTGCTTGCGTTTATGTTACCTTTCATTGCACTGTTCTTGGAAAAATGCTTAGATGTTAAAAACTGAGACTGTCAAACTCTACATGCAAATGTACGAAATACTAAGACCCAAATACAAAACACGAAACATGAAAAAGGTCAACACCCAGTCATAAAAATATCTAGTAGTAACTGGCGTCTTATTATTGTTATTGTGTGTTTTGAAAACATCGATGTAATAATAGTTAATAGTATTTAAAATTATAATTTTCAGGTAGTTTAATCATCCAACAATGATTTGCATTGTCTGTTTATAATGTGGAGATTTTAATGGGCATGTTTTACATAGCTGAATGCTTTAGAAATTGATTTTACTTTATAGTTACTTTTAATATTAAAAGAGGGGGTTTGCACCTATTATGTTTTCATTGACCAGTGAAAAATACACATATAACTTATTGGATTTCTAGTGGTTAAGTGTGACTGCTTTATTCAGTCACATCCTAAGGTTCTCATAAAGCTATCCTTTAAATCATACAATATGGTCTATATTTTTCTCTTCTAAATTCAAACATGCCCTTTAGAATCAATGCTAGTCAGAGGAGATCAACAATTGGTGACCTTTTCTGATTTAAAGTTATTCATCCTCCGCTCACTCTCTTTAGGCAAAGCATATTATTAATTATCTACAAAAGCACTTACCCTAGGTGCACTGAAAGTGTTGTATGTCGTTTAGTTTTGTAGCTTACACAATTTTAATTTTTAGTTTTAGGCTTTTAGTAATGTCACGTTGCTCCTAAAACTGACACTGAAGTCAAAGCAGGCACATGCCAGCGAGAAGCTCTCCTGTGTCTCAATTAGTGACATCTGTGTTGGATCCCCAGTTAGCAATTTAATGTAATTTGACAAGACTTGATTGGAAGTTTGTGATTTTGAGATGCAAACCGACCAGCAGCGGTGTCTGTGTAAACCTTCTAACTTAATTGTGTAATGTTTGCATGGGACTTGAAAGCAATATATGTATTTCTTTTCCTAAAAAAAAGACACAGTAATGGAAATTCATACTTCAGTACAGTCCTCCTCTTTTCAGCCTATGATGAAGAATCCCATTTTAAGAAATTGATCGAGGAAGAAAAGAATTCCACGCTCTTCGACCATTCCTAACTAAGGCACAAGTGTTGTTCTCCTGTGTAGTAATTTTAAGCTTATTTTTCATGTGGGATTCTTCTTGGATGACCAACTCTGGACCACCAGAAAACTTTTTTTTTTTAATTCTCTGTGACTTTTCTGAGATAGTAGAGCAAAAGAAGAAATAACGCTCATCTTTCTCAAGGAAAATAGATGTTGAAAAAGAATCACTTAGCGATTCTGATCAACGAATTCCCATATTGTGAAATGAAGTCATTGTACATAAGTCATGGAATTATATCATTCCCATTGGCCAGGGTAGATTTTCTGAAAGTAAAAATCTCTGAATTTGTGCTTGTATTCTGAATACGTACAATTGTTTTCTTTAGAAACCTTTGACAATTTGCCTGTTTTTTGTGAAATAAGATGTATTAATGTGCATTATAGATATAATGTAGAAAATTTCCTTTCCATCCCTGTTATTAACAGGTTTGGATATATTCTTAAAACTGAAATACTTAATTAATTTTACAAGCATGGCTAGTTTTGAGGAAGCATGCTATCAAAAACTCATAATGAAAAAGCCAACTGTTTCCTATAGACATATGAAGAATATTCTGTAAAATTATCTGATGTTTGCTTGATGCCATCAATATTTTTGCTATCAAAGCAGTGTAATACTAACATCTGTCTTTTTGTATACAAATGTAATCTTCATATCAGTAACGCCTCTGGTATTTGCAACTGCGTAATCATTCAGTAATTCAAAGAGATACACTAGAATCTTTCCGGTATGTCTTCTTTGTATTTGCTCTGTTTGAAAATGGTAGCCTCATACCTGTGAAAGCTCCATCACCTCATTCATTTTGAAAGAAATGTGGTTCCTCGGAGATGAATGAGATATGGACACCTGCATGTAATAATCTTCCCCAAGTTCAGCTGAAAACACCCAACCCAGACTGAGTTGGCTAGACACTGTAACATGCAATATAGATACTGAGATACAGAAAAAGGCTGAGAATGAGCTCTGAAACTCATTCATTTTTATGAAAAGTCATATGGTGTTGCTGTTTTCCCTTTGTCTTTCCTTTGTGTATGCTCTTATTTATATGTCAATACACTGTAATTGTGTATGCTATTATTAAATAAAATTGATTGTGAAATTCATTTATTCATTCATAAATATTTATTGAGCGTCTGCTGTGTGCTAGGCACAGTTAGAGACTCTGGGGATGTGTCAGTTGGAAACAACAGAAAAAATCCGGCATCCGGGGAATTTATGTCCTAGTGAGCGTTAGTAGATAAGAAACCTGACTCATAATTATAATTGTTTTCATTCTTAAATAAAATGGGATGTTAGTGTGTATGCCGTTTAAAATTTATTTCTTCTTACGAGTGCTGTATATTTATGTGATCTTTTTCATGATGGAATTTTTAGTAAGGCATAGTAAATGCAAATAACGTGGCTAAAGCTAAGTGGAAAATGAAATTGGTAATATCATCATCTTCATCTTATTGGCTAAAAATCTTATAAAATCTATGCTATACGTGACACTATGACCATACCGATTTAACTTTTTGCATTCATAGTAATAATTTTCGTAAACTACCTAAGAAAACCAGGGCTGTGGCATGTGGTTAGAATAAGGGTAGCAATTGAGGAAAAGGCAGTTTACAGTGGGATCCGAGGGAAGAAGAGGTGGCGATTTCCTCTGTAATCTTGCTACTTCTTTTGATTATTCAACTCTGTAGAAAAAGATACTGTAGAGATATTTCAGGCAAGCCCTTTTCCCGCAAACAGCTGCGGGAATATCTCTGATCAGCTTATGAATATAGTCATCCTTTAGGAAAAATTTCCATGCAGTCAAATTTATTCACTGCAGCATCTGAATTATTTTACGAATCTAAAAGCAATTCTACCTATCCCACTTGATCTTCCAGAAGTTATTTTTTACCGTTTTTATGAGTTATTTGATATCTTGTAGGTGCACAATATGTATATACAGATGCATGTATAATTTTATGCACAGGTATATTATACACAATATATACATTCATGTATATTTATATAATGCATGCATTCATGTATATTTATGCATAGTATACATTTATGAATATATACACCAAATTTAAAATTTATTTTCTTCCTCACACCAAATATTAACTCCCCCCCTTCACATTCACCCCTTACAAAAGGGCTTATAACACAATTCGCTTGAAAATACATTATTTTGGTTAAATTTGAAATTGTACAACCGTTCGATTCATACATTTTTCCCTAACTGAGTAATAACATTAGAATTTCGACTTTTAAGAATTTAATTCATGGAATAAATTATCCATATGCACTAACATTCTTTGGAGAGAATCAAATAATCACATAGGAAACGAAGACTGATACAATTCATTTTGTTCTACTGGTTGTTTTAATAGTAATTGTAAAGGTTATTTGTGATATTTAGAAAATCCTGAAGCCTTTCCAATGAGCATCTTGTTTCAATATTTTCAGTTTTGCTAAATGCAAATAATATTTAAAATTTTGTCAGTAGGAAAATTATACTCCATTGGTTAAAAATCATCTAAATTCATTTACGTAAACATTTTCATAACCGAGTCCTAATGCAGCTACTTTATGCAGAGAGTGATTTCTTTTCTGAAATAACAGAGCAGTTGTAAGACACCATCTTTTATGGAATTGTCTTAATAAACTCGTTATTATGTAAAATTGCTTCTGAGGAATTAGTGCCCTACGGAATGCAGTAATTGATGATAACAAAGGAAGATTACACTCTGAAGAAAGAAGTAAGAGATCATACTTCATTCTTCTTATCCTTCCATTTTTATCCAAATCCAAACACTAGGGATGCCATAAGATTACTGTGTAAAAATGCCCCATTCCCTTTCAATGTTTGCAAAATTTCACTTTATTATATTGAAAAGGTTTCATATTTTGTTCAGCCATAGTAAATTTTAAATGATCTCCCCAGTAGGTAGTGTTTCAAGAGCTCCATGTAGCCTGCGTGTATGTCAGCTTAGGGATGGGACAAATGAGGTTTGGGGTTACAGTACTGAGGATCTGCTCCTGCTTTGGATTTGACATGAAAGCAAAGCAAAATGAGATACACTCAAAGCATCTGGCTAGAGCTGAGCAACCATGACAGCTGTTGTGCAAGAAAAGCCTCACCTTTCTCTCCCTGACAGTGTGATCATCTTTTTTCTCTTACGCTGCATACACCCCTTGCTGAAGTCTCAGTCTTTGTTTACAGTTCTGGTTGTGTGAACAGGCTGGCTAAATTTCTAATCAGCATCTTCAGGAAGCTGCAGTTTTTTCTAGCTCTGTTAGCTGCGCTTGGTTGGAAAACAGAGAGCAGAGAGCTGATGGGCTCCATCTGTACAAAAGTAAAATTGGGGGAAAAAACATAAAGAAGACACTGAATAAATATTTTATTCATATATGCATATGCCTGCTTCAGAAGAGGTGGCCTAGCACTTTCGAACACTTAGTTTCATTTTCAAGATCTAAATCAGAAGTCTTAATGCAATTACTTAACAATCATATTCCTACTTAGGAAGCGCTGTTAGACCAAGATATCTGTATATTTACCAAACACTTTTAATGTGTTCCATACCAGGAGGATAACTGAAAATGTTGCACCTATATTTTTACCAAAAAAGATCATATAAAGAATTTCATGTTCTAAAGATATAGGAATAGGTTTCTTTTGTTCTGTCTTTTGTTAAGTCACTTTAGTTGCATATATTTTGATGTGTGCAATAATGACTTCAACAATTTCCAGATATTTCAAAATGTAGGGCAAACTCCCACTCAGAGGGAGTTAGCTCTGTTACTTGTTTTCTCTGTAAAACTGAACAACTGCTTCTGTGCTGAGTCTTAATTTTCCCATCTGCAAAATGGGAAGTTTCTACTTGACAGTGTCAATGTGTAAAGTAAATCCAAGGGCTTGGTGCTTGCCTGGCAAGCACAAGGTCCTGAGTTTGATTCCTGGTACCAAAAAAAGGGCATAATTAAAGCATGTAGCACCGTGACTGACACAGAGCAAGCATTAAATAAGTTTTACTACTATTTCTTTCCTAAATTTTATTGTTGGTCTTTGCCATTCATACGCCTTTAATCTTATTACAGAGAATTTGCAGTAACTTTGAACACAGTAGGACAAGGGACATTTTTAAAAATTTGTGAAAAAAAAATTGTGTCCCTATCTTCCAACAAGCTGCCTGACCTACAGTGAGTGCTTAAGAAATGTGTGAAGAAACAATTAGATTATTTGCTAACTAGAGAAACTTCTACGCATGTTCATGTGGCAGCATATATAAGCGAGGGATAAAGCGTTCAGATACTCAGAACTGTGGAACCGACTTTCATCCTTGGTATCCAGAGCCTTCACTCTCTACTTTTCAAGGGAATCCTAAGCTGCTTATGGACGCCAGCTGTACAGACACTTAAATGAGAATGCAAGCAATTTACAAATATATGATTTTTATTTTTCCTGCATACTCTTTCACATAATCTTCCATAAATAGTTATAATTAGGTAACTGTTTAAAAAAGGAAAACCAAAGAATTGGCTCACAACTACTTATATTTTATGGCATATTTTAGAAAGGAGCCATGCTTTGTAGCAACTTACCCATCTTCATAATCACATTTATAAATTCAAATGCTATAAATTTACACAATGTTTTCTGTGAATTAATCATTTTCATCTATTTATAGAAGAGACAGTTAGTTGCCTTTGTTCTGTACGAGGTAGAGAAACATTCTTTAACCAGCTCCAGTATTAGAATATTCACTAAATTCAAAGAAATGGGACCCTCTGGATCACTTGGTCATGACCATTCCTGGAGAAGTCTGCACTGCAGAATTATTTAAGGCATCTCTGTGAGAAAATGAAATATGATTTACACACTTTATTATGTTGTTAAATGAAGTTCTATGTTTACAAAGTACTTAAAATCAGAATTAGTGTAAGACTGCCATATTAATGCAAACTAAATCACTCTCGAATTCCAAATTGCAAGAGCAAGTACCACATACTTGAATTTCCACGAACAAGTGCCATGCACAGCCATGAATTTTCTAGGGGAAAATAAAGATTCCTAGGGTCAATTACTAGCTGGGCATTGGTAGTGCACATCTGTAGTCCCAGCCCTTGGGAGACTGAAGCAGAAGGATCACTGCGAATTTGAGACCAACCTGAGCTACAGAGTGAGTTCATGGCCAGGCAAGCTACATAGTGAGACCCTATCTCAAAAAGAAAAAAAAAAAAAAATCAATTACTAAATGAAGAGTACCATTTTGTAAAATGCAAGTACATTATGTCAATAATACAGAAAACAATAATGCAGTGTCCAGTAATACAGTGTCCAAAGGTATTGAGTCCTTCTCTGCAAAATGACTGGAAAAAGTGGGCGTGACTGAGTTCCATCCTTATTGCACACACACCAGACTTTAGGTGTTATTTACAAAGTTAAACACACTTTTGTTGACAAGTCTCTTTAATTAAGGTCTTTAGTTTGGTGTATAAGTGTGTGTGGGGGGTGTTGGGTGTGTTTCAGGTAAAAACTCTTCAGTAATCATTAGCTACTTATAAGTGATTTATTTTTTAAAGGATGTTCCTGATAATTCTTCATCCTATTTTGACTCAGTTGCTTAGGAAACTAAATAGGGCTATCACAACTGGAAGAAATTGCTACCTTCCATTAGGCACATATTTTATAATAGACTTAAAAGTCACAAAGCACAGTTAATGCCAAAACACAGCAATATTTGCAAAACAAATTTATATGATTTTTAAAGTTATCAATTCATTTTTTGTTGAGCAATTATACAGCAAATGAGTATTGTTGCTAAACATTAGCAATCACAGAAAAATTGTATAGGCCTTTTCTTAAAAGATACAGTGGAATGTGGCTAAAAAAATACAGAATATAGAGATATTTGATCTTGAATGTGTCATATATTCTATAAAGTTGAATATTGAATAGTCTTTAATTTCATAGTATATTTGGGGAAGATTAATTTAGTTGTCAAAGAAGATCATTTATGCTTCCCTAGAAAACTATGAGTGGATATTTTTCTAATTACAATCAGTATCAATTAAGTATTGCTCAGTTAAAAATTATTTTAAATATTTTACTTTCAGTATCCAATATAGAGCAATTTAATATACTTCCAAGCATATTTATATCTATTTTGTTATTTATTTCTAACCACATAGAATCATACGTATGCAGTAGCAAATATGTCTTATTTCTCAAATTCTGAAACTGTGAAGTTACACAAAGACTTTCAAACGTTTTGTTATTTCTCCTTTACAGTTCTCCTTCTCTCATTATAGGAGTCCCCATACGTTATGTACAAGAAAAACCACGAAATGTTTGAAGGAAATGACAAGTACGAAGGCTACTGTGTAGATTTGGCATCTGAAATTGCAAAACACATTGGTATCAAGTACAAAATTGCCATTGTCCCTGATGGAAAATATGGAGCAAGGGATGCAGACACAAAAATCTGGAATGGGATGGTGGGAGAACTTGTTTATGGGGTAAGCAAAGCAATTTATTGAAAAATCTGCTTATATTAGCATGAAACTTTTTTCACTTGGGCTCGTATCACTTTTTAAATGTCTTTTACTCCTTTTAAAATTTATAGCTATGTTCCAAGGGCCGTGAATGGTATTCAAATGTTTCCCTGTGTCCTTGAAAATATAATTTCTAAATAATGAAACTGACTTTTAATAACTTCAAAGTCAGAAGAGGAATGAAAATTCAGATTGTGCTGCGTTACTTAAAAAACAAACAAGGGCCAGGCGTGGTGGCGCACACCTGTAATCCCAGCGCTTGGGAGGCTGAGGCAGGAGGATCATCATGAGTTCGAGGCTAGCCTGGGCTACAAAGTGAGCTCAAGACCAGCCTGAACTGCCGAGTGAGACCCTGTGTCAAAAAGACAAAACAAATAAAAAAAAAACCATAGTCTTCAGGTTCTGTGAAGCATGTTCCCTACACCATAGGACTACATTGGTAACCCTGTTATTTGGTAACTGTAGGAACACATATTTTCAGCAATATAATGTTTTATTATTTTGGCTAGTTATTTATAGTTCTGTTATTGGTAAATACTCCTAAACATCTTTTAAGTAATTGGTGATCACTACATAGTTTCTGTAAAGTATCCATCAATAGTTCAATATTCTTTACAGTTCTGCAGAACTTTGTGTAGCACCATCATTTTTCATAGTAGCGTACATCGCAAAACACAAAACCTAGAAATTTGTCTCAAACAAACCTCCCACAAAGCACGCGTGCCTTCCCCATGAGTGTGCCAGACGTTGAGTGTGCACATGAATAGCCACGGGCAGACGTAGCACTAACATTACTGCCTGAATGAACGAGAGCAAGATCGCTTTTGTGAGCTCCCCCTGCAGTGTCAAAATGAAACTGGCACTTCTCTGGTGCTAGAGATGATACAGTATTTTAAAAGTCCAGAATCCAAACCTATAGCTCACCGTAAGCTCCATTTGTCAGATAACTAATAAAAGTACCATGTACGTGAAAAGCTTTCTGAAATTTCCTGAAAGCCAATTCATATTTAACAGATTTCACTTTCAAAGCGTACGTCTGATTAATCTTCACAAGGCCCCCTTGAAAGGATGAATGACACCTAGAGTCATCCTTCCCTGGAAAAGAGTAAAGAGAGAAAGATTTAGAACATGTCTGAAGTCCACAGAGGGACTCACTTTCCCAGTGTGCACTGCGGTGATACAGTTTCATCCACCTGCCCCTTGCTTTTCAGACCATGAAGCAATGAACATTTTCTGTGCGGTAAATACAGTGGCTAAAGCCTCAGCAGAAATAGGAAACTGTTTGACATTATAAAGCAATCAGCTTTATATCCATCAGAAAGAATTGCTGGCTGCTGAGGGGACCCTAGATGTGGGGAGAAAAGGCAGTTTTCTTAGAAAGGCAGAACATACTTTAGCACAGGGTTCCCTGACAGTTTCGTACTGAATTTTAAGTTCAAAGAAAAAAGGTTCCCAACACACATCTGTTCTTTGGTTAACATTTTAAACCTTTGAAAAAGTAAGCAATTTTTAGACATGGACATTATCTAAGTTTTCATAAGTATAGGTTGTGTATTCGTTATCTTAAATACATAGGATCAGAGGAATTTCACAATTGGGATTTTCTTTTTTCTAGATTTGAGGATATGCACATGTACATAATCAGCTATCTTGGGACTAGACCCAAGTCTTAACACGAAATTTATTTCTATTTCACACACACCTGTTACACTTAGCTTGAAGGTAATTGCATAAAATATTTTAAAATAATATGCATGAAACAGTCTACTGGGAATGATACTTTGATAGTAACCAATCACATGAGGTCAGACGCGCAATTTTCCACTGGTAGCAAGCATCACGTCAGTGATCAAAAGTTTCAGATTTTGGAGCTTTTGCAATTTTACAGAATCTCTATCTGTACAATTCAGTGCCTTTGGAAAATACTATCAAGTGTTTCATCTAAAAAAAATCATACTTTGATTACTTACTAGTTATAGGTGGCCTGACTAACCTGAGTTTCTTTCTGGAGAATTTGCTGGGTATTTCTCCACTAGAGTCCCTACCCCTTGGGCAGCCCTGGTCCAACCCCTTGCAAGTGTTCTGACCATGTTTTATCTTTTTTTTTGGGGGGGGGAGGGATATTTTAAGTGATTAGAGCAAATGATAGGAAGAGAGCAGCATAATTAACAAAAGTATATCGGTAATATACATGCCACAGTATTAAAAAGTCCCAAAGCCATAGAGAAAAAAGCTAACATAGTGGTTATTGATTACGCCATAATCTTTCTTCAGCCAATCAGAGCGTTTCCAATCTCTGACACTAGTTCTCTGCTTGTCCTCAAGAGAATCTTCTTCCACGTCTGCTATACTTTCCTAATGTGGTTCTTGTCCCTGGTGTCTACAAAATCTGCTCTACCGGCTGCTTGGTTTTACTGCTACTGCTAGTGCGTATACAAATGCGCAGTTTCCCGGTTTTAGGTAAAACTCAGTTCGCTGTCTTATTCTGAACACAGCCGGATGATTAATTTTGAATCCCTTTCAGCGACTAACTTCAAATCCATTACTTTTTTACTTTGCAAATTTTGCAACTATAGTTGTTGTGAATAGATTGTGACGTATCCCCACATAAGGACACAAAAGCTCAGAACCTCTCTTAACATGCTGAGAGCCTTTGCGTGGTCACACCCGTGCACTATAGAACACTTACTTATTTGATGTCCTTCTGCCCCGTAGCTTTCCTGGGCCTCCCCTCTTCCTCCTTCTTTTTCTTTTCTTAAAGGGGGTTTGTGTCTTCATACAATGGAGTATTTCTCAAAGCCCACTGCATAGCGCACAAGCACGAACACACCTGCATTACATGTGAAAATCCTGGCTCATCAGCCTCACTCCAGCAGTGCTAAAGAGCACAAATCTTATCCAACTCCTCAAAGAGACATTTTATATACTTACCTTTAGGACTCACTGACTGTTATGAAACCGGGCACGTACAACATCCCCAGTGTAAGCAGAGAAAGTCCTTGTGGATCTTGCTTTTTAACTAGGCTGTTTTAAAACTCACAAATCTCAGATATCAGTAGTGTCCCTAGTAAGCATTGCTCTCACCACCTTCGTCCAATATTCATGGTCCATTGTATCTGTTTTTCTGGCCTTGGAACACTCTCGTTTCTCTTTACGTGTCTTTCCTTTTAAGGTTCTCTCTTCTGCCATTAGTGGTAACTTCTATGAATGAAAATTTTCAGATGATTCTACACAGAACCATGTAATATGTGAAAGGTGGCATTTCAAGTCAGTGAAAAGACACATTATTCATTCATCCCTGTTGGGGAAGCTGCTTGGAAAATTAATAACCTTATTGTGGTTCATCATGAAATATACTAAATAAATTTTAGACTGATTATAAATATGAGAATGAGAAGGGTATTTCTAAAGCATGAAACAAAAGACTGGAAACAAAAGAACTTTACATAGGTATAACAAAATGATTTTAAAATTTATTTTAAAAATAAAAGAAGGAAAACATATTAACAAATAGACATCCGGGGGCTGGGGATTTAGCTCAGCGGCACAGTGCCTGCCTGGCAAGCTCAAGGTCGTGAGTTCGATTCGAGGTACCAGGAAAAAAAACCAAAAACCAAAAAACAAACAAACAAACAAACAGACATACCCAGAAGGAGAATAGCTGGGTTGAATGGGACCTCTAGTCCTAGTTTTCCGAGGAATCGCCAAACAGATTTCCACAGTGATTTCACCAATCTGCATTCCCACCAGCAGTGGAGAAGGGTGCCTGTTTCTAAACCATTCACAAGTTGGAAACCCAGAAATTAATACCCCTTATGGAACAATGGAACCACAATATGCTAGACCATGCGTAAAAGAAGTAAAAGGAGCTATTTGTTTTATAAACACAAATTCCAATGAGTATAGTGAGTTCTTTCATAAAGAGAGTTGGCAAAGATAAATAGGAATAAACAGGAGGTGTCTGAGGATCGAGGCAGCGTGTCCTTTCTTATACTGTGGTGACCGAGGTATCTGCATTGTCTTTCTGGAGAAAAGCAGGGCAAAATACATCACAAACATTGAAAAGGTCCCTAGCATTTAGACCAGCAATTCCTTTTCTAGATTTTTCTAGATGTTTTTTCCATTGCTGGAGGTGGGATAGAGTCTCACTCGGACCTGACAAGCAGGTTACCACTGAGCTACATCCCCAACCCTGGAAATTTATTTTAAATAACTACAATATGTGTGCAGACTTGTCTTTCAAAATGTTCGTAGCTGCCATTTTAAATTGTCTAAAACTGGAAACGGTGTAAATATCCCGCAAGATAAGAATTCAAGTCCATTTTGATCACTTCACTTGATCAAAATATTTGAAAGCTTCAAACTTATTTTTAACCCATATGTCAAAATGGAAAAATGTTCAGCATCTCCTTTGAGAAGAGAAAAGTAATTAGAAAACATAATGTTTTCTAATATTTTATCTTTAAAATAATAAAAATATTGCCGTGGATATAGCTCAGTGGCACAAGTGCCTGCCTGGTAAGCGCGAGGACCTGAGTTCTATTCCTGGTACCAAAAAATAAATTAATTATTTAATAAAATAATAAAAATATTTATAAAGCAAACTCTAGTGGGACATCTAGAAAGAGTAAAGAGTAAGTAAGTAAAGGGAAGCAGATGACTTGTCCTGATTTGTTGAATCTGTTGTTATTTACTGTTTGCTAGAGATAATCATACATCACTTACACAAGGAAAATGATATAAACAGTGCTAACCTTAGGAAAACAATAGTCTCCCTCAGTACTTCTGGCTCTTATATACGTGGGCATTTACAAGGAAAGAGAAGTTTATTCCTTCTTGAAGACGTGCAGGGCCAGTTCGCAGTCTCCCGAGAGAACATACCTGCAGGGGGACCTTCTCCATCCTTAGCCTCCCCTGGCCTCTGCACGGAGCATCAAATCAGGAACTCCTATATACAGGAGTGAGCGTGAGCGGCAGCTTGTTGTGTGTATGGCTATGTTTCTGATTCCATTTTCAGAACAAATATTTTTCTTTTGAAGTAAATAATTAAAACATTTTATTTGTGGAGCATATGACAGTTTAGTTTTTACACCGTGTTTTATTTCATTTGATTTTAGAGGTGACATGCTTTAATAGGCTCAGATTCCAGAGCTGCCATAGGTGTAAATCTCATCTTTATGTGGCTTAATTCCATCACGTACCAGACAATGACAAACAGCAGGTTATCAGGAAGTATAAACGGGCCATTTTTAAGATGCAGAACGCTGCTTTTAAAAAATTGCTCAAAATCAGAAAACTGGAAAAGGAGGGTGGTTTCTTCTGATCACAATATCAGAATTCAAGCTACTGTGTTCCAAAGTCTTTTTCAAAAATTGGAAGCAGAAAATCAAAGTATGTGCCTAGCAAGAAATAAATGCCAATTTCCAGATTTTTGTGTGTGCACTGAGTTGGAAAATGTCGTCAAACAATGGGTTTTCTTTTATCATACAAACACAGACGCTATGATCAGTTTTCTCGTAGTTGGAAAGGAATAAATAAGAAAGGACTGTTTGAAATTTGCAATTCATAACGTGAAGGGATGGCTGAGTAATGAATCAGTGGCAACATTCCAAACGAAACAGAAAAGGCCGCTGCAGGGCCACACTCCTGCCAAGAAATTCAGAAATCCAGCCATCCCGAAAGACTATTAAGTCTCTTCCTCTGCACTGTCTCAGATCCTCAAAGAGTAGTAACGGTAACGTGAGCTCAAGTTCCCTCCGCACACCCACTCTCTCTTTCTCGTCTTTTTATCTAACTGCTAGCACTAATAAAAGGGTTCCGTGTGATTCGAGTAATGTGGAAATAAATTACCGTTCATGTTTTTATTTACAGTTGGGATTATTTTTTCACGTTGGCACTTAAAAAAAACTTGGAATGAATGCGTGACTGGTTAACGTTGAACGGATCGCTCCAGGGCTGATTGCTTCATGAAATGCGCTAATCTGAGTGTTTCCCTGTGTCTGTTCTCTTACAGAAAGCAGAGATCGCTATTGCGCCTCTGACAATCACTTTGGTCCGAGAAGAGGTCATTGACTTCTCTAAGCCCTTCATGAGTTTGGGCATATCTATCATGATCAAAAAGCCTCAGAAATCTAAACCAGGAGTGTTCTCCTTCTTGGACCCGCTGGCTTATGAGATCTGGATGTGCATAGTCTTTGCCTATATTGGTGTCAGTGTGGTCTTGTTCCTAGTGAGCAGGTTTAGCCCATACGAGTGGCACACGGAAGAGCCAGAGGACGGGAAGGAAGGACCCAGCGACCAGCCTCCCAATGAGTTCGGCATCTTCAACAGCCTCTGGTTTTCCCTGGGTGCTTTCATGCAGCAAGGATGTGACATTTCACCCAGGTTAGACTCAAAACCCCCAGTCTCCACCAATTTCCCAGTAATTGTGAACATTGCACAGAATATCTCTGTGTTCTTCTCCTGGAAGCAGAGCTCAATTCTAAGCAGAGGGTAAATTTGCAATTCCCAAATTAGCATAAGTAGATTCATAGCCAGTTTCTTCTAAGCTGGCACAAAACATCGATACTATACAACATAAAGATGAACTTCCTCAGCGGAAAAGTAAATATTCAAACCACGGGAACTCTAAACGATTAATTTATATCGATATTGCATTCAGTGATTTCACAAATGGAAACTAAAATGGTGGTGTGTGCTTGTAGTCCCAGCACTGTGGGAGGCTGAGGCAAGAAAATAAGAAGCTTGTGAGCCTAGTTCAGGCAGTTTAATGCTTTAGCAAGGCCTTTATCTCTATATTTAAAACAAATTAGAAGGGCTCGGGATGTAGTTTTTAGTGCGAAGGTTCTGGGGTTCTACCCTCAGCAACAAAAAGAAAAAAACCTCAATTGTAGACCAGTCATTCATCTTCATTTTGCTTCCTTTTCAAAAGCGAGTATTGTTGCTGTTGTTACTACTGTTTTCCATTGTCAAAGATAAATGTTGAACTCAATATTCAGCTCAGATAGTTTAAGGGAAATGTCTGTCATGAAACTTCCTAAAAGCTAAGTCAATGCAATTTGTACCAAGTTTATTGTTTTACGTAACAGCACATAAATAAACTAAGTAGCAGGAAAAATAAAGCCAACCATGCAATACATGTTAGTTGCATAGAGATGTTTTTAGAAGTACCTTGGAAAATATAGAACAATCTTTTGCATTTAAAAAAAACTGTGTGTGTGTGTGTGTGTGTGTGTGTGAGAGAGAGAGAGAGAGAGAGAGAGAGAGATCACGTGATCCTGGAGACTGAACTCAGGACATTTACACTGAGGTACATCCCCAGCCCTTATTCTTTTTTTTTTTATTTTAAGACAGGGTCTTGTTAAGACATTAAATTGCCCAGGCTGGGCTCAATTTAAGACTTGCTTGCCTCAGCCTGCAAGAGAGGTGAGATTACACACATGACTTTTTTTTAACCTAAAAACAATTTAGGTTTTTTTCCACAAGAATTTAAAATAGTTTGATGGTCTCAATGAGTGAAATCACTCTGAAAATTCCCTGGATCTTCATAGTTATCTGGTTTTAACTTTTCTTCTGTACTCATATTCATGTTTCATAGCCAGAGAGAGAAGGCAGGAAAAAAACTTCTATATCAGCATATAAAGATACTTTATGATGTACGCTATCCCATCCTCTACTCATCTCAGAAATTGAATAACAAGTGCAGAGACGTCCTGAACTATGGTCACCTTGAAACCCGTTCTAAGCCCCCTTCTTGGCCAGCCTCATGTGAGCTTGTCCTTGCTCACCCTGGCAGGGCTCTCACTGAAGCTAAAGACAGGGTCTCTCCCAAAGGCTCAGAAAAGTAGCCACAAATTTGTACTGAACCTAAGACTCTATCACTGTCCAGATGGGCTGCTATTTTATGTACATCTAAGAGATGAAATAGTCCTGCCTCCTAAACCATGACCCTATATTTTATCTCATCAACCCTAGGCTGCAGCCTGATTTCAGAGAGCCTGCAGTATGAGGGAGAGAGGATATTAAAGAATTTAAGTAAGTGTGCTTCTTCTCTATCAGAAGGAAAGTCATTAAGTTCCACGTTTCTACCAATTAAACAATAAACAGAAAAAGGTCTCCATACCTTCAGTGGCACGTATATTCAGTATAACATACAAGACGTAGGATTATACAGAAATAGTAAAACCTGTCTTGAGTAGATTGTCCGAAAACAAGAATGATACTTGCAGCTGTTACTTTTAAGAATGCTTCGTGAAATTGATGTTTCTTCTTGCCGTGTGTTGGTTAGAGAAAGAAAAATGTGCATTATCTGATTCCCATTTAGATCCCTCTCAGGTCGGATTGTTGGAGGCGTCTGGTGGTTCTTCACCCTCATCATCATATCGTCCTACACTGCCAACTTGGCTGCTTTCCTGACGGTTGAGCGAATGGTCTCCCCCATTGAAAGTGCAGAAGACCTGGCCAAACAAACAGAAATTGCCTACGGAACACTGGATTCAGGGTCAACGAAAGAATTCTTTAGAGTAAGTTAAAGGGAAAACTAATGATGAGATATGTTCATAATTTTGAAATTCAGGCATTTTTCCAAGAGTCGTATTATGACTTTAGCCTTTATAAATTCTGCACACATCATGACAAAAGTTATGTTGGATACTAATACTTCCCGGACTTCATAATCACTTTCATTTAAAAAGCTAATCGATGGGTTCACACTGCAGAGGTAACCCTCTAGGGATAATAACAGTGAAAAAGTAACTAAAGCAACCTTACAATGTCATTTTTCCAAAGCTTTCCAGTACTGATGGCGCTATGGTAATCCTGGATTGGAAAAGATTTGGTTTATGTTTGCTTTTGGGCTAAGAGTAAAAAAGTGAAAGCATGCTTTACTATTTTATTTTCAATAGTCCGTGTTTGTAGTACATAATGTTTACATTCCTTGTGAGGAATTGGTACATCTACCTAAGAAATCTTAATTCCTCTGTCAATCCTCTTTCCCTCCTCATCTCCCCTCAATCCATCTATTGATTCTTTCTTTCTTTCTTTCTTTCTTCTGTTTTATTTCTCTTTCCCTCCTTTTTTCCCTCCCTTCCTTCCTCCTTCCATTACTCCCCTCCCTCCCCCCTCGTTCCTTCCTTCCTTCCGTTCATGTTTCTGGTACATAATGTGCACGTTTCTCGTGTGGAGCTGGTACCTGTATACAACACACCCCAATTCCCTTTTTATGCCCTTTCCCTCCCTTCTCTCACCCACCCTCTTTCTCTTGATTCCCCTCTACTTTGAGAAAGATCTATTATTTCCTATTATCTATCTTTTCCTTTACTCCTTGGGTTTCTCATATAAGAGAGGCCATGCAATATTCAAGTTTGTGTGTGTGATTTATTCCACTTAACATTATGGTCTTAAGATGCATCCATCTTCTTACAAATGAGTCAAGTTTATCATTCTTTTTGACAGAGTATGCCCACTGTGTGTAAATATCCCATTTTCTTTATCCATTCATCTGTTGATGGACATATAGGCTGCTTTCAAGATTTAGCTGTTGTGAACTGTGCTACTATAAACGTAGGTATGCAGGCATTGATATAGTGTGATGTCAGTTCCTTCAGGAATATACGAAGGGGAATATCTACATTAAATGGAATTTTTAGTTTTAGTTTTTTGAGGAATCTTCATACTGATTGCCATTGTGGCTGCACTAGTTTACACTCCCACCAGCAGTGCAGAAGGGTTCCTTTTCCCTGCAGCCTTCCCAGCATTCATTATTATTTGAGTTCTTGGTGATGACCATTCTTTCTGGGGTAAGATGGAATCCCAGGGTTGTTTTACTTTGCATTTCTCGAATGACCAGTGATGTTGAGCATTTCTCACGTACTTATTCATCATTTGTACTTTTTCTTTTGTGAAGTGTCTATTCATTTCACTTGCCCATTTTTCGATTGGGTCTTTTATTTTGGGGAATCTAATATCACAGAGTTTTCTGTATATTCTAGATACTAGTCCTCTGAGGAATAGCTGCCAATTTTTTTCCCATTCTGTCACTTGTCTCTTCACTCTGTTAGTTTTTCCCTTTCCTGTGCAGAAACTTTTTAATTTGATATTTCTCAGTACTACAGTATTTCCTGTGCAACTGGGTTCTGTTCAGAAAGTCCTCGCATACATCTATGACTTCAAAACCTTAATTACAGATTGTACTACTTTTATGAGTTACATTATTCTGTAAAATGTTTTTAGCAATTATTTTCAGAGCAACATGTTTCCTTTCTCATAGGAGGATAGCAGCAAGAACATAAGTTCTGGGTGTCTGTGTTGAGACTGTATGATATTTCACTTGTGTTGATTCTCTGCTTTGCAGACAAAGTTTTTCAAACTGATAAAATTGCACTACCTGGTGGATAGAGTTCCTTTGCCTTTTCCATAAGTACAGCACAAGTTTTGTTGTTGTTGTTGTTGTTGTTAGTTGTTTGATCCATTATGGGGTTGGGTTTTTTGGTCAGTGAACACGTTTTCTGTTTTGGTTCTCTTTAAATCCAGAGATGCATACATGATAATATCTGGTCACAGAAAAGAGTTCAGAACCAAAAACTGAAAAAGTAGTCAGAGATACTTGCACAATTTTGAAGTAGGTAATAACGAACACATTTTATATATGGCATCAATAGTGTGAAGACTACAATGTTCTTTGGTTTAGAAAACATGATATATTTCACCATTTCCTAAGCTTTCATGTAAAAGTACTGGTTGTTCAATATTCATACTTACATGAAATATTTTAGAGATTACATTTTCACTTTAAATATGTACATTTATAATTTCCTCACTCAGCATCAAATGAAAAAACAACTTAAACCAGTTTGAAATTTTCTGTTCTTGAATTTTAGCAAGATGTCCTTTTTTTAAAAAAAAGATTTGATCTTAATAAACTACAGACGTTTACATGAACTAAATCAAGAAAAAATTGCTCAAAAATTCAGTTGAACATATTCTTGGGCACTGCTTTAAAAAGAAATCACTGAACAACATAGTTGTTCATAAATTGGAACACTGTCTACACTTTTAAAAATATCTGTGGATGTTTCTAAAACTCTGTCATGGCAGTAACTTTTATTAAGAATATTCTCCAAATGTAGTTAGTTTACTGAACTTTTTTAACCTAGTAAGCATATCCTCATCTCCACATTTAATAGAAACATAACGCTGTAACCCATTCTAATGTAATTTCAATACATAGCTGAAAATTTGTCACTTTGAAATTGCTTCAAATTTAGTACGTAGGCAAAATTTACTCCTTTTACCTGGGAGCCACTCTGTGTGTGCATCAGAATCAAATGCAGGTTTTTCCTATCGCTTGCATTTTGCTGAAAAGTCATGACTGATTATCATTTAATAAAGGAAATATGTGCAAGCTTATCATTCTGCCTCGTGCGATAAAGAGGAAAAGAAATGTCATCTTGGCTCCCTAAAAAATGTTTCAGTAATAACTCACTGTGGAGGTCTTTGGCATGAAGCACACCAAAAATATTTATTTCTAAACTTCATAAAGTTTGTGAAAAAGCTCCTCCAGCTCTAAAAACTGGTGAGGCAGATAAGAGAATGTACTGATAAGAAATATAAGAATAATGAAAGCTGCTTGCTAAATTTAGATTCTTCCATCCAAACTCTACGAGCACCGGACCTTGTTTCCTTTCTCTCCCATTCAACTTCAGCTTTTAAATTGGAACATTCTTATAAGTATAGGTATTTATTGTTGCAGAACTCTCTGAGCCCTAATGGGACAAGAAAATAGTTTCCCCTGGCAGCATACTTTCAGGAATGCACACATTTGGGTTTCCTGATAAAAAAAATCTCATTCATTTCCTACCTGATTCCTCGCTCTCCTTTCCCATGCATGATGACCTGGTTTAAGGAAACCATTTGTCTGATGAGCTGATGAGAGAGAACGTGAAGAGCATTTTTGTACTTGTCAAAAATGTTTTCTCTTGGGAGCACAGTAATGGCACATCTGTCAGCTCCACTAAGCTGCCTCAGGTGGTGACCTACACTCAGCACTTCAAAAAATGTCGCAGTTATAATCAACTGAGAAAAGAAGTAGGCCATGGGGGGAAATTACATCTGAATTCAACTGTGCATTGGTTTTGTCCCATTATGAAACTTCATATGCTTCATGATCTGTGCACCTTGTTAAGCACAAACTCAGTCATTTAAGGGACGTCTATGCTTGGCACTTAATGACAACCTTGCTGTTTAGGCACTTTTTCATTATACACCTGATGCAAACACGCTGATTTTCATTTCAATGCAGATTTTATCTTGCGCCTGTTCCAGTCATCAGTGAAATCATCAATGCATAAAGGAGGTGGATTACTATCTCAGACTGTAGCATATTATCAAAGAACACACTGATGAGCTCTCACCAGAATAGAACGCCAGTCTTGCTGCATAAGCTGCTACAGGAAAAAAGGAGTTCACCTGCTAGCAACATAAACGTTAACTAAAATGTGTGCTGTTTATTTATAGTTTCTTTAAAAGCAGGTATAGGAGAATAGTTCATTTTTAAGAAATTAAAAGAATAGCACAGCTTTACAACTCCAAGAAATGTTTTAAATAATACAATAACATTGTAAGTCAGCATTTCCTGACCATTAAGTGTCACAATAAATATGAAACAAATAGTTCGGAGAGGAATTTTCTAACTACAAAAAATTATGACTTTTATCTTTGGTTATTTCCTTGAGCATATTTACTTCCCTCAGTTGATTTGTACATGTATACCGTATTACAGTTGAAGGCTTTGGGGCCTTAAAAATTCCTTTGTCACTGTGTATATGAGCTGTCTGGGTGTGCAGGAATTTCCTCCTTTTAGCCAGTCTTATCAAATGTATAAATATTTGCTTGCCCTCACTGCATAGCAAGCATTGTCTTGCAGTTTCACACAATAAACACAGGAGTAGTTCTCAGTCCTTCACTGCTTGATTCCTTCTTTGTTTTCCCCATGTGTAAGTTATATGCAAGTTGTGTTCCTTTAAATCAGAATAGAATTTGCAGATATTAACATGTTGACAAGCTGAGCTGATTTTTTTCCTCCAAAAAATCAGTGCTTTCATCTTTCCTCTATTTTCCACTGAGATTCAGTTTCACACTTTCTGTTGTACTTAAGGCCTCTTAAATTTAGCATAACTACTCTACAGCCTCCTCTTTCTTTCGCCTGTTAAAAAGACTGAATCAAACCATTAAAGAGAATAAAAAATAAAGACAGAAGAGTTCTAAAGGACACAGAGTTTCACCAACAAAATGATAGGCTGGTGTATTGCATATTGTTGTCTCTGTTCTTGGCATTTTGCTATTGTTCTTTTTTTAAATACTTTTTAAAATAAAATTTAAAAAAGACTGAATCAAATTGCTTTGCATTTAAATTATGCATAATTCAATATAGTTAAACAAATGTAGTAATTTTCCTTATATTAATACTGTAATATAAAAATGGACTTTTTTATTTTTATTTTAAAAAATTAAAAGACTAACAAAACAATGGAGACAAAATCAAAACAACACAAAAACAACAAAAATGATACATGACTTTAAAACAAAATGATAGGAGTTAACAATGCTCAGTCCACCCGAAGTAAGAATGTAAGATTGATCAAACAATCAAAGACAGTAACAAGTTAAAAAAAGAAAACCACTGGAAATGATGCAGAGCTTCACCATACAAGACGGGCAGAGTTCAACAATAGTTCTTATACTGCATATGGTTGTTTTCAGATCAGTCATTCTGATTACCAGATTCAAGCATGCAAAATTGATCAAGAAAAAAGAAAATTTTAAGCATTGATTGTCCCTTTCAATAAACCACAGACATCAGCAATACACCTATTCCAGCTATTTATATGTATATATATAGAAATGCACTCTTAGAAAGTATCATTGGCCTACAAGTACTAAGCTGTAGAAACACTTCTTCCATTTTGCTGTGTGAGTTTTGGTTTAACTGTTCTCTTCTTTTAGTATTCATGTTGATTTTATTTTTCATAGCAAAATCTACAATATCTTTTGGAGTGGAACTCTCAAGTTATAAATATATAAAAAAGTGATTATATGTCTAAAAGATTTCTTTATTAACACTTAGCTGAATTTGAAATCATCACAATAGATAAATAAGAACAATCTTTTGATCATGTGATCCAGAAAATTAATGTTTCTGAGAAGTCATTGTAAAGTAAAAGAGTTGATTTCCTGGAATAGATCTCCACTTTTATTTATTTTTTAAAAATGAGACAGGAGAAGGACTTGTTAGAGGTAGATATAGGACACCCTCCACATTGGACTGGGGTTGCTCAGAGAAATGAGGAGGCAGAACTCTACTTTCAGAGTAGGGATGAGTGAGACCTAACTACACGGCCTAGCTAATGGATCCTGTAACTGAGGTTTTGAACCATTCCTTTTTCTGGGGAGCCACATAAAATCTTTGCAACAGAATGTTTGCAATTGAATTGAACCCAGCGTTAGCACACAGTTTCCTAGTATGAGGATTTCTATAGCCAGAAGTCACATGTCAACACCTGAACACACACATATATTCATCACAATGTCTATGTTATGAGACACTTCTCAAGTGTTCGTAGCATTAAAACATTTCATAAGACAACAGAGAATATCTGTTTCCCTCCCTGACACTTGTCAATGTTGGATTATACATTTTCTTTGATATTTAAATATGTGAATTATTCTGCAGTTTATTATAGGTTTATTGACTACTAATTTCCCATTTTTGGAAATTAGAATTTTGAAAACCACTTTTATTTGTTTTTTTTTTCTTGTCCACCTGATTTCCTTTTTTCCAAAAATATATATCCCTAATTTTCTATTCAGAATATTTGTTGATTATTGAAGTGGACTATATTTGATTATTTTAGTGGACTATATTTGATAAAAAGAAAGATCAATGTAATAAATATGCATGCTACTCAGAATTAGATCCACATGTAAAATCTCCACTGCTTTTTATTTAGATTCAGATATAAAATTTATAAATATTATTGAATAGGTGTAACCATAAAAGTCTATGTGAAACATCCAAACAGCATTTGGGCTTTTCTAACTTACTAAATAAATCTTTTGGGAACACGAGTTCATTTGCATATGTTTTTACATTAAATATACATACACAAATGAAAGACATCTAAGCCCAATGGAGATGATAGTGAAATGACCTGGGCAAATTACCTCGTGGGACTAAGATACATAGAGCTCAGGCAGACAGAAGTAATTTATAAAAAGAAATAATTTCTTGGCTGGTGTCAGGACATTAGAATGATAAACTTAGCAAAATACAAAACAAGAAAATAGTAATCAGTTTGCTTCAAAGCTCTATAAGTCTTACATGGAAATATGGTCAGAAAAAAGTTAGATAATGTTTTGACCAACAGAATTTGGTACTTCTCTTGTGTGTTTCATTTGTAAATGATAGCCAATTTTTTCTTCTTCAGTGTTAATCAATTTGATGTGAAATGAACTTTTTATACATCCTATTGGGCCAGGGATACAGCTCAGCAGCACAAGCGCCTGCCTGGCAATCTCAAGGTCCTGAGTTCAATTCCCGGTATCAAAAAAAAAAAAAAAATCCTATTTTGCAGCATGAGAAAATGGTAAAGATACTTATCATAACTTGAAATCAACATTAAAAAGAATTTTACAAATTTGAAATCAAATCCTACCTGGGCCTTTTCAAGCTTGTGGTGAAGACAATATAAAACATGGTTTTAGATGGTCAACGTTCTTCTTTGCCGTCTACGTTTAAAAAATAATGTCGCTATTTAAGCAGTTGACTGTGGTAATTCTTATTGCAAGAGGTCCAAGCTTCTTTACATCTCTAACATTTCAATGATTTTCTTAAGTAGTTTTAAAGGACAGTTCTCCAGTTGTTAAAAAATAATGTTGCGTTGTTATTATTATGTTACTATAGGGCAAATGGGAGGTAGAGGGCAGTGGAAAGATACTGAAAGCCTTTATCCTCATCTTGATCCGGGCAATATTAACAGGCTGTTCTCTTTTTCCTGTATTTAATTTTATTTTCATTTCCTCCAGAGATCAAAAATCGCAGTGTATGAAAAGATGTGGACCTACATGCGGTCAGCAGAGCCGTCGGTGTTCACTAGGACTACAGCTGAGGGAGTAGCTCGCGTCCGCAAATCCAAGGGCAAATTTGCCTTCCTTCTGGAGTCCACTATGAATGAGTACATTGAGCAACGAAAGCCATGTGACACCATGAAAGTGGGAGGAAATCTGGATTCCAAAGGCTATGGAGTAGCAACGCCCAAGGGTTCCTCATTAAGGTGGGTGGAATAGTATAACAATAGAACATGTGTTGTTATAGTATTCCACCTTCCCTGATGTCCCCGAGAGAATTCTTTTCTTTTGTGTGTGAACATGGTATGTTTGTTTGTTTGTTTGTTTGTTTTCTTTTTATCCATTTCATACTTTTTTGGCCAACAATCAGGTAATTTTTAAAATTTCGAAGTAATCATAGTTGACATAAATCTTTGAAGGCCATATAAAAACCAAACTGGTTGAACACTCGCTGCTCCCAGCAGGCCTACAATATGGGTAGCATATGCTTGTATAGCTCATCGATTTTGTTTTTTGACCACCAACATATGCACCGTCATTGTGTCAGTAGTAATTCTATATTTTATCGTCATTTTTAAAAGTATTCCTGGCTGCTCGTTTCTGAGTAAGAAGAAATCAACTTCTTCTAAGCAAACCACTTTCTTTTCCATTTCAGTGTTTCATTTGTTACGGCATCATTCTGTTTCAGACCATCTAGAGGCTGTATTGCATCAACTTTTGAAATCACCTCGGTTTATAAAAGTAACCATAGTCTGAGGGGAAACAGGCTCTGGTTTTATAGTGCTTACTCAAGTCACACTCCTGCCTATTTCAAAGGGAGTATGGTGTAAGTAAGAGCTGTAAAATTAGACCCAAGACCATTCAAACATGTTTGCAGAGAGACACAAAACGTGATTTATAAGTGAAACTCTCCACATTGGGTTAAAAGTGAGACTTTCATTCTTATGGAAATATTGGTTAAATCTGCCCTTTTCATCCTTTTGATCCTGGACATAGAAAATGCACATGTTTGTGTCCAGGAGGCAGAATTTCCTATTTTCCTTAAGCAATAAAGGCTGCTGTTGAATCGATGGGACCAGAGCCCATCGCAAGCGGTGACTGAGAGATTGCTCTGGTCTCAGTGCTGCTTAGGAGAGAGACACACAAAGCACAGATTCAAGAGGAAATCAGAATCTTTGCTAAAGGACTTAACCAAGAACCTGGTCTTGAAAAATGATGTCTCTGGTAAGCCACTGAACAATGAAGGTAATGAGACTTGCATTCTTGCCCACAACAAATGAAAGCAATATACGTATCACATGATTGTTTTCATTGACTTCAAAAAGGGAACTGCAGTGTGATTTGAGATGTGTGTTGGGTGGGGGAAGGGTTAAGACACATAGATACAATTACTGGTATTGCGTGGGGCTGTGTTAAGCAACACGCATTTACAAGCAACATGGTAATAACTAGAGGAAGGTTTACAGTATGTTATAAGACGGACAATTTTAAGAGGAGATTGGGAACACTAGTAAAGACTAGTTGACAGTTGACTTTGGTGATGCTGTTCTGATTTATTTGAACTTATATCCCTGATGAAACTGAAGAAATGTGCAGTAAGAAATTCAAACTAATAAATTATACATTATAGAGTTTTACCCCAAGAGACTTTGACCATTCAGAAACTTAAACTGGCACCAAGATGTTTAGTCTTTATACTTTGCAGTAAGGAAAACGCTATAGTTTCAATGAGGTCAGTTAGCAAATAAATTTCTGTTGGGGTAGTAGTTAGCAGAGTACCTTAGTGTAAATAATTTAAATGACAAAGAAGGGGTGGAAGCAATGATGGCTGATATGTAGATCAGTGTTCAGTCTATTGGTTACATTCACTGGATTTCTCTCTTGCCCTTAATTAATTCTTTGTGGATGTAGCTGCCTTTTCCTCTGTCTTGTGTCTCCTGATAAAGTCAAGCTCCAGAAACTGAATTTGGCCCTAAGAAACGGGTACATCTGACTCCCATTGATGGCAAGAGAGTTCCCTCTTAAATGTGCCACTTTGTCAAACCCACACTACAGGGATTGTTTGGGGAGACGCTGAAGGGCTTCATCTGTCTGGAACTGTATAATAATCAGCCATTGGCTTCCCCCTCTTTTCCTGTCCTTCCCTCGATCTTGTTAATGAGGCAATTGTTAAACTCAGCTTCCTTGAAGGAGAGTTTGTTTATGCACTTTGTTTTTGTATATACCACAGTTTCCTGAGCAAGCTGGCCCCTGCATGCCAAAACCACAGTATTTTGTACTGTTTTCTGAGAACATTCAAAGGACACTGAAGGCTAACTGGCATTCACCTTACCTTCTATGGCCTGACTCCCCAGGCCCAGCCATTTAAGCATGAGGCTCATTAGGTTTAAATTCTCCTTCTTATTACCCTAGGATTCTTCTTTTTTCATAAGAGGCAAGCTAATATAGACAAGAACCAATGATGTCTTCTGCATAAACTTTTTAACTTGTAGAAGCAAGTTCCAATTAATTCCATTCATTACACTGAGATGCAGAGGGCATACCCATATGGAGTGTCTTTGAAACCTATCTTAATTTGGTCCACTAGAGACTTACACCTGTTTTTCTATAAGATCTTTTCCTAGCTAGTTCTTTAGAGTAATTGCTTTAGATGTGGTAAGAGACGTGTATTTCATCAACCACACCTTTCTCACAAACACTGCTGTTTTGATTCTTGAAGCAATGTGAGCATTTAAGAGAAAGAAAACAGTAATCTTTCCTTCTGTATAAGCTTAACCAGAGAATGCTAACAAAGGAGAAGCAATGCTCCTTTGATCAACGAGCTATAAATTTTCAAGTCTTGCTGTTCATTGAAAATGCTTCAGAATAAATGCCCCAGAAAACGAGCACAGTGTGGTACATAATTAGGGTGGAACCACAGGACTTTTTTATAGACTTTAGAACAAATGCAATTAGGAGAATGTATCTCTGATGGGGCTTAAAAGCATACCACAAGACTGATGACTGGCATGCGTTTCTACGGTAAAGAATGATATACAGAGATACTTATAGTTCAGAAAGACTGTTTGAGATGAGGGTTGGCTAGATATGTACCTGAAAATTTAAAACCATTGGGCTGTAAGTTATACACAGCCAATAACAATGTCCAGAAATTATTGGTGTATTGTACTTCAACATAGATTTTCCAATCGTAAGGTTACAGAATAATGCAAAATATGTAGGTCTTTATTTCTACTGAAGTCGCTTCCCACATGCACAGTGTTATATATACGTCTGTCAGTACGACAGCTTCCTCCCCATCCCATTTCCATTGCCCTTGACAATCCAGAACAGTTGTAAAAGGCTTTTTTGAGCTAATAAATTTGTAAAATTGCTTTGAAATATACACTTCAGATGAGATTATAATGAAATGTAAAGTTGAGATGAGGAGGAATATTTTGACTTTATTACTAATACTATCAAACATTGTCACCTTCCTTCCATAAACTGACAATAGTAGATATCCACTATAGGTACTTTAGTATTTATAAAGATATATTTTACTACAAAATTATTATCAATGCTACTAAATTTTATATGCTCTACTAATTATTTTTTATTGACTTTACAATGTAATAAATAGACCTATGAAAAGTTGTTTTTTAGAATAAATAATGTGGTTAATATAGATTGTCCAGTGAGTATTTTAGATGGGAATGTTCCTTTTAAAATAGTAATAGTATTTGACATCTGTGAATATCTTCAGGAAATACAACTGTGGGTCTCATCTGAAAATGTTTCCTGGTCCTTGTAAGGCCTGAATACTTTATATCTTTATTATTCACCTTGATAATTCCCATACAAATTTTGCCTTTTCTAAAGTTATTTGAGGGACTGACTAAAAGAAGACAAATGTGGTTACCCAAAGAAAGAGTTTCAAAGGAGAATAGCTGCAATAGAACTTATAATAGCGGGTGGATTCTGGAAAAATGATGCCCAGCTGGACCTGGCAATCTCACTTGCAAAACCCACGCCAAGAGGAACCGATCCTTTGAAACCATACCCATCACGGCTCTTTCACAACAGGCAGCTCAGAGCCTTTTTGCAGTAGCATAGCAATGGATGAGGGAGTATCAAGAAAGAGAAGTAAAATACCACATCATTCATCAGACTTTTCTTTCAGTACTGAACAAAACCACTGGCCTCACAGACAGCCCACATCTAGATCTGTTTCAGGATGAATAGAGTTCTCCATAAGCCAAATTATGTTCTTCCACTTTGGATATTTGCCAGAGCAGAAATATTAAAATTAGTATTCAAGTTCATGTATGAATAATGTATTATCCCAAGGAGCCATTTTGCCATGTGCAACTTGTATACTTAGTCATAAGTTCCATTGTACTGTGAAGTTTTAGAAAAAAGGAATTTACTGGGCATTGTGTGTGTGAATAAAGAAATGAACCACATTTCAAAACTTAGAAACAAGACAACCTTCATTACTTAATGTAGACACTAGAAAAAATTAAAAGTTCAGAAACATGAGGCTAAGTACTTAATTACTGATTTCTGAGCATTACTTGACCTCAAATGGATGATCTTTTACATCTTCCAGTAATGAGTCAAAGTAAATCGGTACACAATTTTTTTATTACATTCATCATTAAGGAAAGAATGTCTATGCCTATCTTCCATTTTCTTATTAAAAGATGCCACATAGCGAGGTGTAGTGGCTCACACCAGTAATCCCAGCACTTGAGAGGTTGAGGCAGGAAGATCGCCACAAATTCAAGGCCAGCCTTGGCTGTACAGTGAGTTCAAAGCTAGTCTGAACTACACAATGCAAGTCTGTCTCAAAAATAAATAAATACATACATAAATAAAGATGCCACAGATAGTTTTGTGTTCCCATCATATTTAGAAGGTAATCTACGAGGACAGAGATTGCACAAGCACAATAAAGTCAAGTCACACTCTTAACCTACACATGCACACATGCACACAAATCCCCCTTGTGGTGATAGACTTAAACAGCTGCCCAGTTTGTTACTAGACATGATGTTTATGATGGATACCAAGTATTTTGCTTTCATACACTGAGCTCTCATATGGTAAAGACATGGATGTTATATGGGTCCCAGGGAAAAAATAATTGCATGGTATCATCTGTAGACTTTATTCTTTTCTTGCTGGAAGTGGAGCTCAATAGGGAGCATAAAACTTTAGTTAT